TGGAGTATACAATCAGGTAGGACTGAAACTGCTGGCTGAAACCCTTACCTTGACAGACACAAATGAGTGGCAACATACACAACATTTCACATGGGAAGGACTTAGAAATGTTGACTTTAGAATGACTCTAAATATAATTTCAGCTAGTCATAACAGCCATTCTCTTGCATGGGCTTATCCTTCCTCCTAATAGCAGATATATGTGTATATTCTTGAAATACTTTAGCCACAGACATTACATAACTGCACAAGTCATGATTCTTACCTATCACTTAGGTGCAATGGAAAGAACCTCCTTGTAACCTGTTTTCTTTGGTTTTCCAGAAATAGTTCAATACAGATTATAAAAGTTAATTTTTTCATGGTTTCAGAGAAACTTTTCTGATAAAAATAACCCATGTCAGGTGCTAAGTATGATGGGCCCCTCCTTCCCTTTATATTTCCAGCTCCTTCTTGAACCACAAGGGGCCTCACATGCATGCTTATGGACACGCTGGTCTGCATGTCCATGCTCTGCCCATATGCTTGCAATCATCTGCCCCTAGGCTTAGGGGTGAACACACAAGTGGCAGAATCTGCTGTTAGCAGGAAGGATAAGCCCATGCAGTTCCCATTTAGTCAGGGAATTCTAATGTCCTGAGTGTGGTATGGGGTGGGCTGGGAGTCTCAGGGAGCATGTCTCCTTGGTACTCTGGGTTCTGCGCCCCAAGAAAGAGAAAGCTAGAGCAGGGCCAATGCAAGCATCTCTAAAGCATGAGGCCCAGTTGCTCCTCTTGCCTAGGCCTAAGGCATACACTGTCTCCATCCATATCTTCTACAACCTTTAAAGAAACAGGTATAAACAACCTTTACTCTGTATGGGTACACATGCATGCATGACTGTATATTGAGCAGCAAGAACCCAATACCCCCTCAAAGACACCTGAGTGTCACGCTGGAGACAGCCCAGTGAAGTCAGGTATCTAAGGGGCATTTAAGCCTTTAGATTAGTCCCTAATTTATCAGATAGGGACAAAGTCATTTGGCCCTGTGTTACATACCAGCTACAGCTACAACTATAGTCCAGACTTATTATGACTGTCCTAAATTAGTTTCTACGAAAAAGGCCAACATAGAGTATATTCCATTTATGAAAAGAATAATATTAATAGAAACTTGTTTTCACTTAACAATCTTTATAAAATAATAAAGATCAAAGTATAAAGGCTTATGACCTAAGATGCCTGGAAAACTCACCTGTCAAGAACAGCTAATTATTCAATTAATCTAGAGAAGATGCCTGTTCTTGAATACTGGCATAGAGCATACCGGCTCATAATTATGGAGCAGTAGTCCAGGATCTATCAGGTGATGATCTTATAATGGAAATAAATACTGCTAACTGCTCCCTCAAAGGTCTATGTTATACGTGAGAACATGAAACTAAGAATACAACCTTTGTCAATGGTCCAAATAGAAATATCATATATTATGTACATATACATTTATCAACATAGAAAAAAACTGTCTAATAATTTACTAATTATTTCATTTGGAGAATGTTAATTATCTTAGAAGAATCCAATCCCTCTTCTAAAGCTTGCTCTAATACCAAAACAAAAGGGATTAAAAGTATGTCTTCAAATAAGGAGTAGAATTACAGTAATGCCACATTCCTTTATCTCTATAGCTTTCTGTTCAGGGCAGGAAGTTCAATTCATACACATAATCTGTTCATGACACAGCAGAAAGGATTATTGTAAACATAATGCACAAACTGTGAACTTGTGTTCAAGTCATCCTTTCACTCCTAACAGGAGACCCAGCTATAGCATGGAGCATTCAAGACTTTGAACACAGGTACCTGATAATGAATCAATCAGGACAAGGTACAAAATGGACTCAGACATTTTAAGGTATATAGTTTTAGTAAGTCCTTCAGCTTAGTACCACCAGGCAGCTGTGTAGGTATATCGAAACACATCAAATGAGACCATTATGTATAAAATAACTCCTTCCCTGTTCTTATTATGACTCAAATGCTTATATCTACATGTTTGTAGATATAGATATAAGCAATTTGTCAATTTATTCATTCAAAAATATTTCCTAAGTGTCTATCAAAATAAATAAGGCACTGTGTATTAGGGCTGAATAAGATGCAGCATCTGGCTTCAAGGAACTTACAGCCTAATAAAACTTCAAAATAACTAAAAACAAGATGGAAAAGAGTATTATGACAGACATTAATAAGATGTTATTCTGGAAACATTGAGGCAGGAAGAAGGGATTAACTTCTGCAAGGGGTACCAGAAGGGGACATTTGAGTCAGGCTTTGAAAGATAAGTAATGTATTAGCATTTCTCATAGCTGTAAGATGGCAGTTTCGAATCAGTTAACTTATAATTCCTTTAACATTCCACAAATTAAGTTGATTCTTACTTCCTGTATGACATAACTCACTAAAAAATGTGTATTTCCAGGAAGGGAGTGTAGTCTTTTCTCTTCAAGAGATACTAAAAATACATACCAGTTCGGTCTGAAAAATTGTGAGTCCAAGTTTTTATATGTCACCACATGTATGTAAATCAATGAATCACTATATTAAATGGATTTTTTCTTTAAGTAGAAAAATATAAAACAGTAGGAAAATTTTAAAATGCAGTACTGAATAGGAAACATAACCTTTATAATTGCCATTAAATTCCAGTTATCATTCTTTCCAATAAAGTCTGAATTTGTTCTAGTGTCTTTCTCAGCTACTAACATCTTTTACTCATGTCACCAGAGCCAATACGGACTAGGCAGTACAAACTAAATACTGAAAAATCATGTATTTATGATTGCCTTTCCCCTTTTCTCTATGAAATAATTCATCTATATTTTCCTGTTTGAACATATCAACTTTCAGCAAGAATGGAATGTTAATTGATGTTACGCACAAGCTAGGCTACCATTCCTCAAATTTAATCAGCGAAAAAAAAAATCGAAACAAAAACCAACTGGGTTTCCTGTTTTTATTTACGGTTATTAGTGCTCATTTAGGGGGCTTAAAATAAAGTATCTGTCTCCAGTGACAGCTCATCCTTCCCTCAATTAATGTACCCAAGGAGACCAGTTCCTTCCATCTCCTCCCCTGATGACTCTCTGGATCACAAAGCCTATTCAAGCTTCTCCCCAGGGCCTCAAAACAACATATGCAACAACTTCCTAGGGAAGCCTGAAGGCTACCTCACCCTTCCCATTGGGGAAATACACAGACTCAGCCGTTTCTGGTGTGATTATGTAAGAATACAGGCCTTGCTTGCCCCCGCCCAAAGCTGAGACCTATCCTTCAAACATCAGTTCCTGCCTTCTCTTCTCTAAACCAACAGTGTACATTGGAAAAAAGAGGAAACAAGTAGGATTTATCTTTTAACAATGGCAACATATTCCAAGGAATCCTCTATAAAAATTCTGATGCCCTAGGAAAAGTGTATACTGTTGGGAAAGAAAGTAGTTTTACAGGTCCAGGTTATAGTACCCATATATTTTTTTTTTTTGAGACAGAGTCTCACTCTGTTGCTCGGGCTAGAGTGCCGTGGCATCAGCCTAGCTCACAGCAACCTCCAACTCCTGGGCTCAAGGGACCCTCCTGCCTCAGCCTCCCAGGCAGCTGGCTCTATAGGCATGCGCCACCATGCCCGCCTAATTTTTTCTATTTTTAGTTGTTTGGCCAATTTCTTTCTATTTTTAGTAGAGACGGGGGTCTCGCTCTTGCTCAGGCTGGTCTCGAACTCCTGAGCTCAAACGATCCGCCCGCCTCGGCCTCCCAGAGTGCTAGGATGACAGGCATGAGCCGCCGCGCCCAGCCAGTACCCATATTTTGATGGGGTGGAAGGGGGGCAGTGGCAGAACACTTTTGTAAATTGGATTTTTTCCTAAGGCAAGTTATCAGTCTCAGAGAATTTCCAAGTCCTCTTTCGGATTTCTGCTTATCAGCTGAAACATTACTGGAATTTGGGGAAATAATTTTTTGTTTCATGGAATGTTAGTCTCCATGAAGCATATCCACTAAATGCCAACAGCAGCCACCCCATCCCCCAAGTCATCGTGATGAATGAAGATGCTACCAATCATTTCTCAGTAACAGGGCAGTGCTGCCCCTGGATTTGAGAACCACTCTGAGGCTAAAGATGGACTATAAGGATTCCTTTTCTTAAGGCTTAATTTACGGCATGTAATTTACTCAATTTACTATATGTAAGGCATGAATTTACTATATATGCAAAATAGTTCTTCCAAAGCCAAGGGTATTAATACCTACTTCCAGGCTGCTCTTTTTATATTTTGGGTGTAGAATTTCACAAAAATTCATCTCTGAAACAATGAAATATAAGGAGGAATAGAAGCTAACCAAAGTCAGTAGCTATATGGTTCTGCATTTGAGTGAGACAAAGAACAGGTTAGCCTAACTATCATTCTTTGTCAAAACAGGGCTCTTAAGTCCACTCTTTCTAGGCTGGCTTGGATGAAGCCTTCACCTGGCAGATGGACCTACTCCTTCACAGGTCATCCAAGTTCACTGTAAATTTAATTTCTTCTTTACGGTTGGCACCACAGCTTCAGAGGAGTGCTTTAACACACCTGTTTCTCAAACCAGGACGCTGCAGACAGGCCATCGCTGCTAGTGCTCTCTCTTCCCTGACCTTGTGCTATGTGTTCCCAGGCATTATGTATGCAGCTCTGAAAACAGTGGTCATGGCAAAAAGCATCTGGAAACTTGTTAACTGATTCTTCTCCAGTGGCTAAGATGCAACAGGCTATTTCCACAATGGGTCCTGTCCACAGACCAAGCCCAGCCCAGATGTGTCTGTAGGTGTAAAACAGAATGCTTTCCTCCCACCTACTGCTATATTAAAAAGTATGATATTCTGTCCACCAAACTAACCATGGGCAGTAATAACATTGGGCACAGAAGGAGGACAGTTTGTCATTCAGAATATATACGTTTAATAAAAGGACAACACTCTCTCACTCACCACTGAGGTAAGAGCCATCTGAAAACTGTAGATGCGGGCAAGGCCGAAGTCAGCCAGTTTTATTTGTCCACTGCTGGTCACCAGAATGTTCTGTGGTTTTAGATCACGGTGCACTACTCGGTGTGAATGAAGAAAATCCAGGCCTCGGAGAAGCTGGAACATCATATCCTAAACAAAAACAAAGAAGAAAAATCAATAAACAATACAAACAGAAATAAAACATTTGCTGTATCCTGAATCCTCGGCACCTAGTTAGTTAAGTGCTTGGCACACAGTAGGCATTTGATAAATATTAGCCAAATAAATGAATTTGTCTCCCTTCTTGCCTCTCCACTCTCCCATTCTTGAGAACACTACAAAAAATTTCACTCTCATCCTGCATTTTATTAATGAAAGGACAACTCAAAGATTGTTTTAGGTGGCATAGGAAATGTTTT